TAACGTAACTAAACGTAAAACTAAACTAATAATATATATATATAATATATATATATATATATATATATATATATATATATATATATATATATATATATAACACATTCATAGTTTTGTTTATGCGTCATTCCCATCTGTCCAAAATTATAGCTGTTCTCTATTGAACATTGAAAGTTATACTACTCGTACGGGCTTACATAGAAATAAGAAATGGAAAGGAAGGCGTGCAGGGCCAGTCCTGTCTGTATTATAGTAGGTACACGTATAGGGCCAGTCCTGTCGTCTTTTATGTAAGTACAGGTGTACTTTCCCTGTATTGTCGAAACTCTTGTCATAGGATCACTTTTGAATGTAGATTGCCCAGTTCAGCTTAAATCGGTCTCTCAATCGACCTTCTCATGACCCCCTGCGCGCCCACGTGATCTTCTCGCCCGTCTTTTTTGGATCAACCGTTGGATTTGACGACAGACATACACACACTACATCCCCAACTTCGGAACGAGTAAGCTGCGCATGCCAGTTTTGCTGTGCTGCGCGTCTGCTGATACACTCATATGTGCTGTGTGCTGTGTGTCGTGTGTCGTGTGTTGGGTGTTGGGTGTTGTGTTTTGTGTTTTGTGTGTTGTGTGTTGTGTGTGTGCGACTGTTTCCCGTTTGTATTCGCCACATGCTGCTCAAGTGTCATGCTACGTGCTGTCTAAATATAGTTTTGAGTGTGTGTTGGTGTGGTGTGAGGTGAGTTGCTGTCTTTTTAAGTTCAGAGACGGTGTGGCCCATTCCCAGCCACCATTCGGTGTGGTTTGTGACATGTGCTACATGTTTTGCTATAGTTGGTTCCTTGACATTTTCGCTATCCGATGTCCCCATCTCTGTGCTATGCCAACATGAAAATTGTTCTTTGCACAGCGTAAGTGCTATTACAGTCTTGTTAGTTTGCAGTGGATTATCGCGTTGGCTACTAAAACCAAGTTTATTCGGTTTTGGTGTCCAGTGCTTACGTAGCACTCTAGGCAGTTCTCTATGCCTTTTTCAAGCTTTGAGCTGGTCTACTTGCTTTGGGTTTAGGGTTGAAGGTTTAGGGTTTAGGGCTAAAACTACTACGCGCTCCATCCATTACCTGTGTATGCTCATGTTCATATTAGCCACAACAGGTATACAAAAACGAAGCCATTCCATGCACACCCGCTTACGTGTTCTTTGCACTTGAACTCGTGGCACAGCCGTGACCTTTGATATGGCCACAAACCACGTGCAGAAGGAAGTGGTGGAGAACGCCCAGACACTGTTGGCCTATTTGGCGAAGCAAATGAGCATGAGACCAGGCCAGGTGGGGCACAGCGTGATGCTACAGCCGTTCATTACTTATGCATATGCACACATTCAGACCACACCAATTGTCGCACAAGCAATCACATTGCAAGTACACACAATTACAATTACATGCACGTGAGAACTGTATTATATGACATACACGTAACAGCTGTATCATATGACATGCACGTAACAACTGTATTATATGACATACACGTGACAAGTGTACTATATGATATACACGCAACAACTGTAATATATGACATGCACATAACAACTGTACTATATGAAATGCACATCACCACTGTATCATATGACATACACGTAACAACTGTATCATAGACATACAAGTAACAACTGTATCATATGACATACACGTAACAACTGTATTATATGATATACACGAAAAACTGTAATATATGACATGCGCGTAACAACTGTATCTATGACATACACGTAACAACTGTAATATATGACATACACGTAACAACTGTATTATATAACATGCATGTAACAACTGTACTTTATGACATGCACGTAACAACTTTACTATATGATATGCATGTAACAACTGTACTTTATGACATACACGTAACATCTATACTATATGACATACACGTAACAACTATACTATTTGTCATGCACGTAATAACTGTACTTTATGACATGCAATAACAACTGTACTATATGACATACACGTAACTACTGTATCATACGGCATGCCCGTGTCAACTGTACTATAGGACATGCACGTACCAACTGTACTATATGACATGCACATAACAACTGTATTATATGACATGCACGTTACAACTATACTATATAATATACACGTAACAACTATACTATTTGTCATGCACGTAATAACTGTACTTTATGACATGCATTAACAACTGTACTATATGACACACACGTGAGAACTGTATCATATGATATGCCTGTAACAACTGTACTATAGGACATGCACGTAACAACTGTACTATATGACATGCACATAACAACTGTACTATATGACATGCACGTAACAATTATACTATACGACATACACGTATCAACTATAATAATTGTCATGCACGTAATAACTGTACTTTATGACATGCAATAACAACTGTACTATTTGTCATGCACGTAATAACTGTACTTTATGACATGCATTAACAACTGTACTATAGGACATGCATGTAACAACTGTACTATATGACATGCACATAACAACTGCATAATATGACATGCTCGTTACAATTATACTATATGCTATACACGTAGCAACTATACTATTTGTCATGCACGTAATAACTGCACTTTATGACATGCAATAACAACTGTACTATATGACATACACATAACAACTGTATCATATGACATACCCGTATCAACTGTACTATAGGACATGCACGTAACAACTGTACTATATGACATGTACATAACAACTGTATTATATGACATGCACGTAACAACTATACTATATGACATGCACCTAATAGCTGTACTGTATGATATGCACGTAGCAGCTGTACTAATCATACAATCGAGTACTGGAATATTCATTTATTGCATGGTATTTTACCGTTGTAGATTGAAACAAAGGTGATCGCTGGTGATGCGCGTGATGTGATGGTAGAGCTAACGGAAGAGCAAGATATCGATGTGGTCATTCTGGGCACAAGTAATAAGACGTTGCTGCGCCGCAAGCTTGTGGGTAGTGTGGGCAGCTATCTGGTCGAACACTGTAAGTCCCCACTGTGCTTGGAGGGCCATTGCATTGCACTGTCAATCACTGACAAGCATTGTCTGTCATGCGCTAGTTCATCGCTTTGTACCATGATCTAGCTCTGTGTTTCTATTGTGAAGTCCGTTGAACCACAAGCGCTCCTTGGCATCCTTCTCACATTGCGCTGCCCTCTTTTTCCACAGGCAAATGCTCTGTGATCATTGCGAAGCAGAAACCGTAGGCTCAACGCAGGTGTACTTTGATTATGCTATGCTGTGTGCATGTACGTGGACGATCCTATGACACATGTGCATATGGTTTACCACGTGACACTTAACGTGTGCATGGGTGTCCTTTTGCCAACGGCCAGTGCACATGGCTCACCAGCTCGAGTGTACTGTTAATTGTTGATGGATGCCCTCTAGAAGGCAGTTAGAAATAGTTCTACGCACGAGAAGACAAAGCTGTGGGCTAGTTGGCCTTGCACTGTGTGCCTGTGATGCACACACTGTGCAATGGCCATAGTGCTAGTAATGGCGGCCTCTCTGTTGAGGGGTGTCTAGTTGATGCTGCCTGCGTGAGGGCTATCCCCTACATTCCATAACTATGTGTTATGTCTTGCAGATGCCTTGCTGAATGGGTTGAGAGTGGTGATGAAACGGCGCATCTCTCACCAACTCAACTGTTCTTTGTCTGATCGTTGTGCTGCAGTGATGGAATGAGACTGCATTTCGGAATATTGCTTAGCTCACTCCATTGCCCTCTGAAGTACATGAGGTCCCAAATAAACGCTCCGAAGTTCATGAGGTACCAAATAATTAATAAACACTCTCTCGTCAAAGAATCTTTCTAAACATGCGGCCTCCTAGTAGCTTTAAAATAGCGCAGTATGTGTTTATGATGAATCCTACACACAAGAGCACAGATTCAAACTTGAGATGCGAGCGGTTTTTGGGGTTTAGGGTTTATTGAAAAAAAGTGAAGAGCTTTGGCACTCCAGATCTGATGACGAGATTATTTCTCTATTTAGTAAATATATACTAGTTTCCAAGCCCGGCTGCTTTTTTTGTTTTATTTTATAACTGATATATAGGTTTTATATATACCTACATCCCAGAACAGGACATGTTAACAAATAGCTTACTTGCTGTAGACACCTATCTATCATATAGAGTTCATACATAAATTAAGCTTATTTCGTAGACACCTATAGTGCTAGCTGATACAGGCGCGATTTTGTTTCAACAAAACGCTCGAGAGAATCTTTTGCAGCAATGTCATCTATCAATGAGGAGCCTCCTGTGTCGGGTACTACCACTGGTCACACGTAGTTGTTTGTCGTATAACGCAATCCACTGTTGTTTTCAGTATGTCTCAGATCATCGACACGACATAGCAGAAAGAAGTGTGCCTGGTATTTCAGAAATTGCTGTGCACATTAACTTCTAACCGATGGGTTGGCAGAGATTTGCAGATCTCTGAGAACGATCAATCGTGTCGACCGTACAATTGTACATGTAGTCATTAAATCATACGGTATAGCGATAGAGAAACAGTATTCTATTCATCAGTACGTGTCATATGGGTTGACCACACTTCGCCATACTTCTCTCACTTTCACACTTTGCCATTCTACTCTCTCTTTCACACTTTGCCACACTTCTCTCTCTTTCACTTTGCCATACTTCTCTCTCTTTCACACTTTGCCATCCTTCTCTCTCTTTCGCACTTTGCCACACTTCTCGTCCTTTCATCCAGGCTGTGCCATAGTTAATTCAACAGTCCGGCGCAATCCGAAAGTTTCACAATTCAAAAATACTTTGCGAGTCTTATTTGTATATTGCATTCCTGATCACACCCTATTCTGATTATCACACTCGCTATTGTGATTGCTTGCCAGTTGTGCGAGGAATGGTATGGTCTGAGCCTTTAGGTACCTTCCACACTTGCCGTACATCCAGCACAACGTTCTAAAATTATGATTCATAGCGATTGCGATATGTACTGTTGCCTTGACAGTCTAATAAAGTACTGCCACGCACTCTCATTGCGTTTTTATCTTTTAAATGTATTTATTTACTATTCCGTTGTTGTTGATGTTCTATGGTACTTCCGACTGACTCTCCAAAGTGTTTTAAATAGCCGATTCGTCTCATCGTCCAATCGATTTACTCACTATCGCATCTCCGTCACAGACCGTGAAGTGGGAGACGAGCGACCGCCGTGTAGGAACTCATACTGTTTCATCACCGCGGAAGACCACCTCAGAGAGTTTTACCATAAGACTGTGCTGTTACGCCGCAAATGCAGAGGCTATATGGAATGCGACCACGTGAGTGCACAGTGGCACACGTGCAAGTTCCTCCACACACAGAAACCGCCCAATGCCGACCTACTCACAGGTATGTCTGATAGCAGAGACCACATGTGCTCAGTCACTGCCTGTACACTCCACAGTTGCACAGCTATTGCCGCAGAGACCACACGTGCTCAGTCACTGTGCCTGTACACTCCACAGTTGCACTGCTATTGCCCCAGCGACCACACGTGCTCCAGTCACTGTGCCTGTACACTCCACAGTTGCACTGCTATTGCCGCAGCGACCACACGTGCTCAGTCACTGTGTCTGTACACTCCACAGTTGCACTACTATCGCCGATGCGCCCAGTGGTCTCAGCCAATCAGCAAATAATTTGCATAGAGCTCATGAGAGTCCCTTAGATTACTCGCAATTAGTGTGTGTGATGTTGGTAGAATTAGTGTGTGAGTGATGTTAGTAGAATTGGTGTTTGTTTCATGATGGAAGTGCCACATAGTGGGTCTATCACTTGAGATCATATGTGGTGTACTATTAACCAATTGATCAGTGCACCCCTGTAAGTGACCGCCTATTTCGGCTACACCATAACATTCTTTGGCATATTTAATTTATGACGATGTCAGTTTGTACACATCCAAAAGTATATGTTACTACCCCTAAAAAGGGCTTTTGGGCCCAAGTGAATGGGTCAACGGTTGAGCAGTATGCCAACGATGTAGGGGATGCAGTCGTATATGCGCTAGTTGTGATTGTGAACGCTGCGAGTGTGCGCACTACCTTCACCCCAAGACATTACATCTGTATTTCTATGTAAAGGCAATCTTAAGCCAGACAACCACTTATAAAGTGGTACGAATCTCTCCCATTTGCTTACACAGTCTTTGCTATATTGTTATATTGTTTAGCCCTCGCGTGATATTCAAAGTTTGAGACTGTGCACAAAACATGCACGTGTACCAAAAATAAAACCCTAAACCCTGCCAAACAAAAACCATGCACGTGTATGACATGTTGGAAAGCACTACAGCTACCCACTCAAATGGTCTCCAGCAATTTATCAACTGTTTCTGATTGCGCAGGTGTGGACCGCATTGCACGTGGCCAATCACCCGCGATGGTACCATGCCATTGGCTGTCCTCTAGTTATCTGGTCATTTCACACATGTCCCTTCCATTACTTAATCTCTCCACAGAACGAATGTTATTCACATTCCCACATCCATTTGAGCCTGAACCAGAGTATGAATGTGGACTGCCGCCGTATACAGTCAAGGAGCAGATACTTCTGCATCTCATGCAGGTAAGAAACTATGCTTCACGTGCAGATAAGTCACTTAGGAATACCCCTCATAAAGCATTTATGCGTTTATGCACACTATGTCGCAACGTGCTTACTACGCATCGGTGACGGCATGGCGGATAGGGGGTGGCATGTGTATGGTCCCATTGCCTGTGATTGAGGTTATACTACTACTGCTATAGGGTAATAGGGTTGTGGCATGTGTATGGTCTCATTGACTGTGATTGAGGTTATACTACTACTGCTATAGGGCTATAGGGTTGTGACATGTGTATGGTTCCATAGACTGTGATTGACGTTATACTACTACTACTATAGGGCTATAGAGTTGTGGCATGTGTATGGTTCCATTGACTGTAGTTGAGTTTATACTACTACTGCTATAGGGTTATAGGGTTGTGGCATATGTATGGTCTCATTGCCTATGATTGAGGTTATACTACCACTGCCATAGGGTTATAGGGTTGTGGCATGTGTATGGTTCCATTGACTGTGGTTGAGTTTATACTACCACTGCCATAGGGGTATAGGGTTGTGCCATGTGTATGGTTCCATTGACTGTGGTTGAGTTTATACTAATACTAATATAGGGTTATAGGGTTGCGGCAGGCGTATGTTCTCATTGACTGTGATTGAGGTTATACTACTACTGCTATAGGGCTATAGGGTTGTAGCACGTGTATGGTTCCATTGACTGTGGTTGAGTTTATACTACTACTGCTATAGGGTTATAGGGTTGTGGCATATGTATGGTCTCATTGCCTATGATTGAGGTTATACTACCACTGCCATAGGGTTATAGGGTTGTAGCACGTGTATGGTTCCATTGACTGTGGTTGAGTTTATACTACTGCTGCATAGGGTTGTGGCATGTGCATGGTCCCATTAACTGTGATTGAGGTTATACTACTAATACTATAGAGTTATAGGTCTGTTGCATGTGTATAGTTCCATTGACTGTGATTGAGGTTATACTACTACTGCTATAGGGTTATAGGGTTGTGGCATGTGTATGGTCCCATTGACTGTGATTGAGGCTATACTACTAATACTATAGAGTTATAGGTCTGTTGTATGTGTACAGTTCCATTGACTGTGATTGAGGTTATACTACTACTGCTATAGCGTTATAGGGTTGTGGCATGTGTATGGTCCCATTGACTGTGATTGAGGTTATACTTCTACTGCTATAGCGTTATAGGGTTGTGGCACGCGTATGGTCCCATTGCCTGTGATTGAGGTTATACTGCTACTGCTATAGGGTAATAGGGTTGTGGCATGTGTAAGGTCTCATTAAATGTGATTGAGGTTATACTACTACTGCTATAGGGTAATAGGGTTGTGGCGTGTGTAAGGTCTCATTAAATGTGATTGTGGTTATACTACTACTGCTATAGGGTTTGACGGTTATGACATGTGTATGGTCGCATTGCCTGTGATTGAGGTTATAAAACTACAGCTATAGGGTAGTAGGGTTGTGGCATGTTTAAGGTCTCATTAAATGTGATTGAGGTTATACTAT